TGCCCCGCCCCTCCAGCTGGCCGGCTCCACCTGCCTCCGCGGCCGCGGGGGGCGCGGGCCCGCCGGCCCAGCCTGGACACGAGTGCAGCTGCCCAGGCCGTTTTTACACCCACGCGAGAAAATATTTACACCTAAGTCCTTCTATTTAATGTGCATGTTTCCTTGTTCTTGATTATCTTTCGGATTTTAAGATTTGATGGTGAGAAGTATCCCCCTCATTTGGATGACTCCATTCACTCCCACCACCGAGAATGTTGTTGTGTTTCGGCTGGAACGACTCACTTCCGCCATAGAGACGGGAGGGAAGGAGAGGCCGACGAGCTCTGTGTCGCCTCCCTAGGCAGAGCGGAGTCATCGCGGCGAGCCAGCCCCTCAGGGGGAAGCGCGGTCCCTAACTCGGGCCTCAGAGGCCAGGAAGGGGCACCGACACCCCAAGATGAGGGCCATGCTAAGTGGAGGGGTGCCCTGGAGATGAGCCCAGGCCAGTGTGCTGCATGACGCCGAGTGGATCGCAAAGCGTTAGCGTTTCCAGTGCACAGTAGCCAGGATCCCTGGCCCCACAGAGACTGGAGAAAGGGGCTTCACCTTGCTCCGCGTTATCACCATACAGAAGGGCGGCTTGGTGCTCTACTTAACCCGTCTGGTGGCAGTCCTTGTAAGGCTGGTAATTCTGCCACTGCCTCTGTGTGTGCCTCTTGACGTCACTCATCCTTTCTGATTTGCTCCTTTAAACAGGGAGCTAGCTGTTGTGCGGCTTACAAGAGATAATTCATATGAAAAGCCTTTGTGCGCTGTGAAGTGTTATGTGAACATGAGTGCATGTTTAGTGCTGTGTAACTTCCTGGGAGCACTGGTCCTCCAAGTAGATGGTCTGTCCAGGGCAGACAGGGGTTTCTTCACAGCTCTGGGAATGCCCACAGGACCTGGGGGTCAAGATGCTCATTTTCCTAACACGCACTTTCTCCTCCAAAATAATAATACATAACATGTGTGGAATGGAATGGAAAGGGCGTGATTCTAAGTGCTTTATATATGTTAATTTAATCATAGGAGACAAATTGACGCTGGGAGAGGTCAAGTAACTTGCCCGAGGTCACTGGGTAAATGGCAGGGCCTGGGTTTCACATGCAGGACTTCTTACCAAGACAGAAGTTCTATTTCTGGTTTCTCCACACCCTGACCCTCTGTGCACTACCACACTCCAAATGCCACCCCCAACGCCTGCTCTCTGATGGAGAAATGCCTTGATTAGTAGCATTTGCCAATTCTCTACTATGGCCAATTTTAAGCTCTAGGCCAGCGGTTCTCAACCTGGGGGTCGAACGACTCTTTCACAGGGGTTGCCTAAGACCATCGGAAAACACATATATAATTACATATTGTTTTTGTGATTAATCACTATGCTTTAATTATGTTCAATTTGTAACAATGAAATTGGGGGTCATCACAACATGAGGAACTGTATTAAAGGGCTGCGGCATTAGGAAGGTTGAGAACCACTGACCTAGGCCATCACTGAATGTGGAGTTCAGAAGGAAAGGATTACAGTTTGATCATCAGAGTTACAATCGGCTCTAGAGGACCAGTACCAGCAGCTCCAGCATACCACTGCCAGTACCTGCCCTCAGGCTTCCCCGCTCCCACCCATCCTTCAAATCCCCTACTCAATCCCCTTTCTGGCTGACCTCCCCACCCATCTATTCCCCATCCCCTTTCTGCCTCCCCATAGTTCTTCCCTGTGCAGCCTTGGTCTCTGGTTGTCTCTGTCCCAGTTGCAGACACCTCCTCCAGGCAGCCTCGGAATACCCCCAAAGCCCGGGAAGGGGAAGCTGCCTGCCTTACAGACCAGCGGCCTTTCCTGGAGCCTGGACTTCACCCAGGACGGGGTGTCTGTGAGGAGCCAAAGGCCGGTGAGAACCCAGGGGAGGAACCAGGGGCTAACTCCCAGATACAGCAGTGAGCGAGGGGGAGACTGACCTCTCTCTACCTCCGACCCGGTCCGTCTGCCTCCGGGCTCTGGGCGGCCACGACCCAATATCATCATCACCCTACTACCAGCCGTGGAGCCTCGCTGGGCACCACAGCAGCACTTCACATGCACGATGTGTGGATTCCTCCAACCACTTAGGAAGGGAAATGTCATTTCCCCCCGATTTACACAGAATGAGCTGGGGCGTAGGGATAGGTAGTGACTTGCTTCAATGGCTAATTTTATGTGTCAACTTGACTGTGCCACAGAATGCCCCGGTACCTGGTCACACTTTACTCTGGGGGTGTGTAAGGGTGTTTCTGGGTGAGCTTCACAGTTGAACCCCGAGGCTCAGAAGGGCAGCCCGCCTTCCCTAAGGAGGGTGGGCCTCAGGCAGCCATCCTGATAGAACGAAAGGCCTGACCCCCACACCCGTGAGGGGAACGCCTCCTGCCTAACATCTTTCCAAGCTGGGCCGTTGGGTTTTTCCTGCTTCAGACTTGAACTGAAATATCTGCTCTTCCTGACCTTGAGGCTCCGGCATCTGGAACCACACCATCAGCTCTCCTGGGTCTCCGCTTGCTGACTGCAGATCGGAGGACTTGTCAGCCTCCATGCTCACATGGGCCGGTCCCTCCTAACAAAGGTGCGGATCCTATTTGGTTCTGTTTCTCTGGAGAACCCTGAGAAACACGCGCCAAGGCCACACAGCTGCTCTTTCCTCGTTCCACCAGTTCTCTGACCCATTCTTGTCCCTACTCCGAAACTCACCCTTCCATGGAGCCTTCCTTGCCTGAGGGTGAAGCCGAACCCTCTCATCTCTCTTATCTCAGGCCCAGGTGCTAGCCAAGACTTGCCTCCTCTTCCCTCCCTGAATCCTTATTGGATGGTTCTCATTGCACCTCAGTTCCTGGTTCCTACACCCACAAGGGTGGTCCTGACAGGGAAGGAAGGTCTTGGTCAAAATAGACAACATGGAATGAATTCTCCCATCTTATGCCACTACCCTGATGATCAAGATGCAGTCATTCATTCATTCATTCATGCAACACATACCTAACTTGTCCATATGCTAGACCCATGTCATACCAAAGTGGACAAGTCACAACCCTGGCCCTCTGGGCGCTCAGAGCCTTGCCGGGGAGAAGGACCAGGAGATCCACCCGGGCAAGAGAGCACAGTGGTATTTTCATATGGCGGCAGGTTTTGCAGGGCTAGACGGGGCCAGCATGGAGGCTACTGCTGGCATTCCAGAGATGCCTGTGGCCTGGATAGACAGGGACCCATTCAGAGTGAAGACGAGTCCCAAGCCATGCTCCCAGCAAGTTGGGAGGTGCCTGGGCACCAGAAGAAGCCGGCACAGCTGCAGAGAACACAGGAGAGCAGCCTGTGGTGACGGCGGGAAGGGCATCCTGGAAGTTGATTCCAGAAAGAAGTGGGGCTCCAGGGAATTATGCTGGGGAAGCTTCCTGGGAAAGAGGAAAGAAAAGAGTTGGGGGGAGAGGCCTCACTGAGGACTGAGCATGGAAACGGAGGGTTCTGAGGCAGGAGAGGCAAGGACTTCTCAGCCACAGCCCAGAACCACGGCCAGGCAGGCGGAGGGGCAAGTGCTGAGGCCCTGTGAGCCAGGCCTGCAGCAAAGGTCTGTGGAGGGAACTTAAAGGCCCACGGGAGACCTTGGGAGTAGGCAGCTGGCTTCGCTTGGAGCGTGTGGCCTCGGCTGGCCCCACCCATCCTAGTGCAGGTCCCAGGGGAGAGCTGATCCTGACGCTGGTCCAGCAGGCCACCCCCAGCCATTCCAGCACTGACCCCTGTGGCGTCACAGGAACGACTCGAGCCTCAGCAACAACAATCGGTGGGACTGACGTCAGGCTGGGGGCTC